CATGTTGCATAGCAGAATATGATTCTTATCGAAAACTCTTGCCAGTACCGAACAGCTTTGGAGCAGTGGATCAACTTTTCCTTGGAAAACCAATAGCGGATGATGAATCCATACTCGTTATTACGGTCATAAATGGCGATAGAAAATGCTTTAATGTATTGGTCGATATTTTTTAATTGCAATAAGTGGATGATCGTCCCTGATCCAAGAGGTACTCATGGACGAGTACGGTCCGGTACGACATTAAAGCTGTGACAGACTGAAGACGAAGAATAATGCAATCACGTCACGTGACGCTTGACCGGGGGTATAGTATGGAATAGTAATGTCTTTCTTGGCCTTAAGTGAGTATCAGACTATTACTGTTGTGGTCGTTTTAAAATTCGTCATATAGGCAGATACAAAATGACCGTAAGTATAATGATAATTTAAAAAAAACAAATGATAAAATTCCACTGATAATGCAGAATGTTAAGTTTAAATATCCGAATAAAAACCTACGGTGATGTTTCTGATTGCGTCATGTTTTCAACGTTCATTTTTCATTCATCGACTTAAAGCGATACAAGTTTTACATTCTGTCTGGAAGAAGATCGACCTCTCGCACTTGTTTTATGGTCATTTCCAGCAGCCCAGTGACCGTGCACTATTGATGTAAAACAGGTCAATGCTGCGTTCAGCTAAGTGATCATTTTCCACGGTTATTGATCGAGGTTCTTCATCGTCGTTATGGTTTAGGCCTACACATTACCGTGGACTTATTTTTCCTGATGAATCATGTTATTATATCACTATTGTCGTTCTTCCATCCTGATTTAATAAGAGGTATACAACTGCTCACTGTGTGCAGTAACCATAAGCTTGAACGTGGTATGTTGAATCATCATTCATTTATCCCATTCGACCAATTGCCTCTATCGGATCAGCTCTATTTAGGGATATCACAGATAGTAGCTAGCAATCAATGCTCGGGGAGAGATCGGTGCAGACTGAAATCCATTGACGATTTTAGCGGTGTAACTTCTAGCCGGACCGGAATCACAACCTTTGACGTTCGATTTGGTGATGCAAAACCATATCTATGGCCATCCATTAGTTGAATGGCTAATAAACATTCCAGCTCCGTTGCTATTTCCTATTATGCAGTGGACAATCATTTCCCTTAAATGTGTATTCAGCTTCCTAGGTTCGATGATGAAGGTACAGCATAAAAGAGTGAGTAGAAAAATATTAGGAAATAGAAATAAATGTTCATCAGTTACATGGATAGTTGGACTGCACTGGCTGCGCCATACGCTCTCGCTAATTTAGTAATGCCATTGTGGGAAATAAATGGACATAACGTGCGGACCCATCTATGAATATCCACGCAGACCGAACGGCCAAACAACAAGCCGTGATAAGATTTGGATAGCGTTCTTTGCATCGATTAAAAAAGCCACAGTAACTTGTGAACTTTTATCGACTTGCAACGAACAACCTTATTCAGATCTTGAAGAAGGAACATAATAGAGATAGGTTGCAAAATTTAGGCTAAGGTAAATTTCTTTGTACTTCAATTGGTACGATACGGCAAAACAATCTACCAAAACAAATGGATAAAATTCCACCAAAACTGGGATAACAAAGTTTTATTTGCTTGGAGCCACTACTAATATTATCAAAACCATGATTATCCGGAGGCATAACCGCGGGAGTTAGGAAATCCTGATTTAAAACCTTTCCAGAGGGGGCATACACAGTGCATTCAGCCTATCCCTGAAGGTAAAAGTTATCAGTTAGATTGTGCTAAAGTGGTGTTGGTCAACTTTGAGGTATAAATTGCGTCGCAAGAATGTAAGATAAACTCGACTGGATACTATGGAAACGTGGTCTTCACACTCAACACCTCTTCCGCGTGAATCAGGCTTCGGTCATAGTAATGTTATACCTCGAACGACCCGGCATCCCTGAGATCACAAAACTGTCAGAGATTCATTCCATTTCGCCTGTTCGCCGAGCTTGGCAATTTGTTTGCAAACGTTTCATCACCAGCCGAGGTGCCATCGTCAGTGAACCTTCACAAACACCGACGATGTCAACTCGGCCGGTGATGAAACGTTTGTAAACAAATTGCCAAGCTCGGCAAACAGGCGAAATGAAGTTTAGTTCATCCGAGCTACGAGAACCGAGTTGCAAAACTTTTTCATCACAGGTTCATTTCACCAGAATGAAATCGACGCAATTGTTTCCTTATAACACACTCATACACTCGCTTTCATACAATCAGCTTGTTGTTTCCTAAAAATATTTCTTTATTAAACCTGAAGGTTTGCTCTACTGAACTGGTCAGGGAAACATTTCATGTGCGTGAGCTGATTCAAACAGAGTAAGAGCCAAGTCTAGCGGAAAACGTTGATTCATTAACTGCTACGAATTAATTTGTGTTGTTATCTTCCTGATGCAACTTAGATGTACAAATAGTTTTTTGACATAATGAATTCTTATGTTGAAAGTCCAGTAACCTCGATGGGATTCGAACTCACGCATGGACGCCGCCTACCACAAGCCTAGTCAATCAGTCTGAACGCATCTCTAATTATTGGAGTTTCCGAAAACGACTTGTGCAACAACGTTTACATTTATCCGTTCTTAGAATGTTTTACCCTCAGTGGTGAGCTTAAAGTTAGACAAACCGATCCGCTTTTTGTGACATGCACCATTCTGTCCAGTCTGATTTTCCCCTAATCAGACCCTTAATACGGTCAGGGGTAGGAGTATTGGGTTGTGACTGGTTACCGTTTGCTTGCACCTTACGAAATGCTCCACGACGAATAAGCGTTTCAAATGGCTTCTGATGAGAAAGCCCTACTTACTGCCTTCCGGTTGCGGAGGTGTTTTTTCGGCTACGTATCCCAACACACATGTTCTGTTTTTTCTCGTTATTGCGTTGGCACCAAGCTTGCTCACGAGCCGGGGATATATATATATATATATATATATATATGAGAGGACGAAAAGCCAATATCCGGGGCTTTAATGGGGTTGGTGAACCACTGGGAGTTCATCTAGGAGAGTTGGCTAAAATCCCTGATTCCAAACGAACGAACCACACTCACTCAAACCTTCCTGGTTGTGACAGTAGTCACCTGCTCGATTTGGCATCGAGATGGATTGGCCAACTTGGATTCTTGACCCCGTCTAAAAGGCGTATGATCCGATAAACTTGAAATCGGTCACTAATGGATTGTGGTTTTCACAAACCACTCAGCTGCTTTGCAAGTCAGGTTTTGCTTAGCCGAGGGCTCCGTTTGTGAGTTCCCAAAAACATTAGTCCGCCTTGGTCTGAGTAACCTGGCAGTATTCAGCCCACGTGCAAACCATGGAACGTTTCTCTTCGTATAAAGATTATTGTACAATGATGTGTATGGCACAAAGGCTTGATTTAGACCTTGGTGAAACACACATTACAATAGAATCAGACCATCATATCCCACCAAATCTGAATTTACTATAGAAATTCAATCAAAATTCGTGAAAAATAACGCATTGCCGACTGTTTGCTGAGTCTGCCATAGACGCTGAGTTTCTGGCTTTGTTGCGATTCGAAATTTAATCAGGAGCCATACGGCAACTTGGCAAAGAGCACATCTTATCCAGACAACACTTGACGACAATGTGCATAAATTAGATAATGTATTCCAGTCGAAGGGGGGGGAGGATGGAAGTTGGTAGGCATTTCATCTGTGTATGCGCGTGTATTTGATTAGCTCTATCATTGGAGCTCATCAGCGAACACGCATGCGAACGACAATGTGATGACAGAAAGCAGGCTAATCTGGTTAATACAAAATTTCACACTCCAGTGAGAAAGCGACCAACAGCAGGGGGATGTAAATAAGTTTCAAAGCAGAAATGGCAGGCTTTCACCAAACCGTGTTAAACTGATCAGCAAACTCCATCCGTCCTTATAAGAAAGCGGTAGAAACAGTCCCAACTGTGGATTGCAACGGATTCATGTTGTTGTGAAATGATTAGATCACAAGGGAGATCCAAATGTGCAACGGAAATGTTAGAAGGGCCTAATTAAGTCACTTTGGGCACATAGAAGTGGAGTCACAAACAAAGGTGTGTCTAAAAAGCTGTCATTTACTCAATTTACACAATTGAAAAATGATAATCTAGCGGCTGATGAAAGCCTTTGTTTGCGGGTTTCTTCAAAGCATCGTCGAAGTAGGATGGCAACATCCGATCCCCAGCAGCAACGTCCAAACATAAAACTATAAATTTTCGATGAAGCTAAACAAATTGAGTTTTGGTTTGACACCATGGAGATGTCATTAAAACAGTAAACTAGGGATTTGGGTTTGTAAAGCACAATCTTCTATAGATAAACCGGGAATACACGCGGTGGAAGGCAGTTGAGAATAGAATATCCACCCAGTTTCAATCTACATCAACTTGTCCTCAGCGCATCGTAAATAGACAGCAATCATCAGTTCCATTCAATAAATTCACTTATTCTCACACAGTCACTCATCATCAGTTAAAGTTATACACTCGATTAGTTTTCTGCCAACTTCGTTGTTGCACGTCTCGGTTCGTCTGATTGATCGATTGAAGTCTGCAGACCTTAGTTCCTTACACCTTGGTCAGGTTATCTTCTCAACTGCATCCGATATTTTTCTGTGTTGGCAGAGACCACCTATTTTGCCGATCAAGATAGAACGTAGATTTTCAATCATACTCATTTGCACCAAGCGGTATAAGCAATTAGTGACTCGCGTGAAGTTCAAACCAATTGACACATTCAGCATTTAGTCATCTCAATTACAAAAGGTATCGCCAGTATTACATCTATCGGGTTCATAGAGCATTTCAGAGGAAAGCGAAAACTGATCCTCTCACTTGTAACAGCCGTGTCAGTTTACTGTCCCGATAAGGGATGTGTTTGCTCTTCGAATCGACGAGGGCCGAAATCACATTGCCCAGCGCAGAAAGACTCAAATTGATCTTGGTCGCCTCCTTGAAGCGATCCCCACTGGCTCCGGTCTTCGCCTGACGTTCCGAGCCGGCCAGATCGACCAGATTCAATTTACCGGCCTTGATCTTGTCCGAGTCTGTTTGGGGGTCGTGGTCCACCATTTCCAGATAGATTGTAAAAATCGAATGAGAGCGGCTACTGTCTGCGTTCATCAAGGTGGCACCGGTCGATCGATTTTTCCATCCAATACTCATTATCACCTGAGAATAGGAAGAATTGGGAGATCTTTGACCACATTCTTGTTAGGCGAATCACTACAATGTAAAATCACTCGCAAATTGATCAAACAAAGATATATATATGTATACTGAAGTGTGACAACCTCTGAGTTTACTCCTAAGGAAAAATCGAGGTAGCGGAAAGAGATAGAAATTGCAGTCATGACTGGCCAAATGTTTCACGCTTGAAACAGGTTATTTGTGAAGTGAGATAAAAGACTACAATCAAGTCTTTATGAGCTTGTGAAACAAAGTACCTAGATCTAGAACTACAATGTTAACCCAGGTTATTCCGACATCAGACAACGAATTCATGAAATGAAGTAGCTAACAATGCTAACCTTTTGTTTCTACATTTGCGAAATCTTCATGATCATATCAATCCAATGCCTATTGTAATCAACATTATTTTACAAACGAGAATAGACTTCGCCATAATTGAGATTCGCTAGTAAGTACCAAAAATTATACCGGGCATAAAGCAGCTTCAACAGCTGATATGGTCATCAAGTAAAATGGGGATACAGCCGACACAAACAGGCTTCCCCGGAGAAACAAGCTTGTTAGGTACACCGGCTGAGATGACTTAATAGCATCTTTAAACTAAAACACAAAACCTTATGCATTTTGAGAATATAATGGTCAGTGAACGCAAGAGTTTGCCCTGTGATACTTGAGAAATTAAAACACGATAAACTTAGCGGATTTCCATTGGGTGAACCTATGAGGAGCGTTTGACTCAACCATGTGGCTCTCACGGCAGCTGATTTAGACAACGAAGTGCTTGAATTGGTCCCACTTCAGACGTATCATCTAAGTTCTTCAGGTTCCCGGTTATTCATTTCAGATCTGTGAACTGGTTCCAATTCGCGAATTGTTATTATTTCATTCATGCGCTAGGGAATATCTGTTCAATCGCGCATCTCATAATGTGTTCATAGTGCACCATGTAAAAACATAATGTTACCCAAATATTTGGTTGGCTCCAAATACTATTCAACGAAGAAGTATAGAAGACAGAAGTGTTGAAGATCTCTATTCAACAGACGTGCCCAATTATTGGGATCAGTTAGAAAGAATAACGAATCAGACAGTTAAGTGTAATTAACCATTTCCATTTACAGTTATGGTTATGCGTTCTAAAATCGCAACCAGTTTGAGTTAGAGCATGATAGAGAATTCAAGCTGCTCGGTCAATGAGTTAATGTCGACAAATTCTGACGAGTTATCAGGTAAATGAGGGTGGCTGATCCTGTCGAATTGAACCATTCTTATTTGGTCTAAAAGTGAATTTACGGACATGTTCTCAAGGCCGGAGGTGTTTTGTATTACACACATTTGTGTGATGAAAAGTGGACAGGGTAGACCCGTAGTCACGAAGACCTATTGTTCAGTGATGGAAAAAGGGTGACCTAAACCACGAGACTTGGCCTGTGCGAACCGCATAAGGCCCCTCTAGATTAGGCATGGTATTAAATCGGACGACAGCAAAGCTGCCTATTTTCAGTTTATATAACTGTAGACTTAACATGAGAGTCTCGTGTTTCATTTTCCCTCCTTAGAACACAAACAAAGGAACAGTTTGAAAAATGAGAACATGATGAAATCCGACAAAAATTAACCCCGCGGTAATAATCCCAATTATCCTTTTCCCCCATAGAGATTCCGTGTCTTGTGGGCAGTAGTTCACCGAACGGTAGAACTGAGTTAGGTAGTTTTCATACTCTGTTTGTAAAATCAAAAACCACCATAGTGAAAATAACAAAAAAAGTAAATCCATTTGGAAGTAATGAGTAACACATGGCATGCTGAGTGCAAACTATAATAAGCTTCAGATATTGTGAATCATCTGAGTTAATGAATTCCCAATGATTATACTGCGGTGAATTGCAAGCGTGTAAATGAGTGAGTACTATAGTAACGAGATTCTGCCATATTGTGATAGAGAACAGCTCTTGGGGACATTATAGGAAGACGCTGCACAATTCACGTTGTTGGAATTGTCCCAAAGGTTTAAATCAAGTATTGGCATATTCGTGGATTTTTGTACAATTCCTGGTAAGCTTCATTCGATGATTTTGAGAGTGATTACTGGACCAATAGCTCTGGTTGATTTATCTCGGTGTCGTTTTTGTCGTCAGTTTTAGATTGAACGCTCTTGATCATTGGCGATTGTCTTAGTAAATATCTCGGATAATATTTGTGTTTTCTACATCTCTATGTTTCGTCGCAGAGACTTTATTCGTCTTCTGCATGGTTCACTCTCCAATATAATATTATTAAGATTATCTGACCATCGATTAGGATGATCGCAAGGACTAAGACTGAAACACTCTGGGAAGCTAATCAATGTCTTCACACATGTATACACTGGATCGTATATCATACGGTTGACCTTAGCCTTCTTCAGATAACCCAGTGAAGCAGGCCATTGCCATAATCCGAGGAGGTTCATCCTAGAAAATACACACCTTATGTCTAACGCACCACAATTAAGAAGGGTCCAAATCCAACCTGATGCTTACGCGTGTATTGTAAATGTGTGTCAGAGAGTCCATGGAATATATGGTCCAGCAAACCTAGTTAGACTAACTCGTATGTGGTTTTCATTAGAAAGTTTATTCCATTTCCAATTTACAACGTTAATTTCAACCATATTACAAAACCACAAATTTTATAATTGGGTTTTTGTAATCACCGGACCCACAGCCCCCGAGTGCCCGATTTTAGTTTGTGATTTCTGGTGCAGCTAACAAATTCATATGCTTAACTTGCGGGCTGAAAGGTGTTATCAGTTGTTTCGTAACGCACTGTAGTTGGTTAGGTGGCACACACTGCGGAGACACCAAACTTGGCTACTTTTAAAAGCAACAATACTTCTGTTTTCTTCCAGCCCTACGTTTTGAAGCCTGATGTGGCTGATACTCGCGTGTCGAGGTGGATGCAGTCATTCAGTTGATCCCAGAAACTGTCATTCAGTACCCGCGGTTTCATCATACGCAGTTTCGGGTTCATGAAATGATACATATGCACATAATTATGTCCACCAGTTGAACCAAAAAGACAACACACCAATGCAATGCTACTGGTTGTATGAACTGAATCCATCAAATGCGAACAAAAGTTAGCAATCTAATAGGTTTCTCCCCCGAGTTCATATCTTATTATAAATCGGTCGTTTTCACATCCCCAGCCAGAATCGCTCCATGACTCACTCATAACATTGAATTAATTGTCCAAAAAATACAAAATTCCCTTCTCAAATCAGTCTGAATAACCGCGTGCAAAGTAGTATTCATCTCAGGAACACTTCTAATCTATGTTCTCTTGGCACGAGAATCGAAAGAGTAGAAGTCATTTTTAAAGGCAAAACCAAAGATCAATTAGAATTGCCTAAATTAGATTGTAGAAACATTGCAAAGTCACTTGGAGTTCTGCTGGCGTCCTAACATTTTTTCCAAAAGCTCAGTATTACTATTGTTTAGCTCAACGGGGATTTTGGAACAAATCGTACAGTTTATGCTAGAGCAAACAGAATAGCCACCGAGGTAACGGAGATTCTCACGGGGCCAGAACGAGACAAGCGAAGTAACAGAAACTCACCATTTTGATATGTAGTAACCATTGGAAGTAGCGTAGATAAAAATGAAAAAAATAGAAGAGAATAATAAATTCTAACGGATAGCTCATTTATTCAACTGTTGGACTGTTTGACTGACCGACTAATTGATTGATTAATTAATTGATTGATTAATTGATTGATTGATTGATTGAAGCTCGACTACCTAGATCATAATACGTTGGTTTACGAGGCCACTGCACAAATGTAATGCATTCCTATCAGTGGCATAAGGCCTCAGTTCGTCAGTGAGTCTAACAGATACCTTCGTTGGTTTTACAGTGTGGTAATCATTGTTCTCTTATACAATAGACTGTGATTTGCACCCAAGCATCACGCGATACACAAACAGCCCAGAAAAAATGATTGATGTTGATTGGGTATCCATTGCGACTAAAGCTGACCTGAAATGAGATAATTTTCTCAAACTACTTCGAAGGGATATTCTCGATTGTTCTCTGTGCAATATGTGAGAGAACCAGAGAGAATGGTTCAGTAGTTGCTTAACGTGGACAATACGGAGATCAGCACTTTGTAGTTATTTTATAGAAACTGGGACGAACTGAACAGTGATTTCATTGTTAAACTGACCATTGGTGCAGACTTTGGTGAGTTGAACATCAGTGTGGAGAATTATTAGCGTAAATAACACCCTAACAACGGAAATGAACCAAACCAGGTAGGTGAATTTTTCATTATACAATAATAGCCTAAACCTTATCACGAAGTCTACTGGTTTTGTGTTGAACAAAAAGGATGCACATCTGGATTCAATTTATTGCTGGTTTGTTCGCTCTGCAGACGTATCCGCGGTTAACATACTTAAGATAGATCCAGAACCCGTAGTAAATCTCACATCAGGCTCTGTACGATAACACAAAAATATATGTACAAACAATAGTGGTGGATCAATTACGGGAACAGTTGAGAAATTGCTTGACAGACGCACAGTAGTAAAACATTCATCGGATGCTACACTCAACGCGGAACAATGCATACACACCGGCTAATAGTGTGCGGTATGGAGGAAAAGAGAGGTCACTCACGTTGCACTCATCCACGCAGGTCACCTTGTGCATACTCAATCCGCTGACATACACACCTTTTTCCGGGTGTTCTTTCAATTCCAGTTTGGTTTTTCCCTCGCGAGCTAACAAATCGCGTATTTCCTCATTGTAAATTTCCAAATAAGATGCGTGTACCAGAAAGCGAGTATTCTGGCTAACCGATATGGTTTCAAACACGTGATCAAACGCTCTGTGAACAAAAAAAGACAATCAGGTAAACACTTGTTTTACCAGGAATTTCTCCAGGCAAAGGAGCATGGTACCGGTAAAAAAGTTGTCAACCAGGTGTAAATAAGATCATATTATTATACAAGAGTGCATTACAGAGGTTTGTTTGACAATATTAGCAATGCATAACCCACATTCACTGTTCATCGAAGAATTGTTTGCAAACACCATTCTGAATACTCTATTGGACAATAATCTCCGAATCCGAGTGCATATTAATGTACGTTCACTTGCAATGATCCTTCCTATTTGTGACTTAATGTGCTATATTTATTCATATGGGATATCACCGAAACAAGCTTGTTTGCTAACTTATGTTTTTTTCCAATCTATTTATCTCACACCTCATTGACTGACCAAACCACAGTGATCGTCGGCTTCGAATAGATTGTCATGTTCATCCGCTTACAGAGATTGTGCGTATTTGCATTTTCTCGTGAGTCATTATATACCTTTTTTAGGATGATAAACGTTGTCAAGATACACTGCAACCGGTCTGATTCGTGACGATCAATCCTGTCTCTGTGGTGAATCTGTCTCCACTCTTTCTCGCGTAGGAGAACATCACTGATCAATATTAAAGCAACCGTGGGTCAAATACTGTACCTAACCCAACTAACTACTCATGAAGCACTCGGTACAAAGCTGTCATCCTTTGTAGAATCATAGATAGCTATGCGTTATTCTTATCACCCGATCTCTCACTCGCTGACCTATTATGGTTGTATAGATGTTATCATGTTGTGAGAAAGTACGACGATGACGAGAAATGATGAAACAAGGATAGGCACCTATGCGACGAAACTGATTAACAAAAGGTGGAACTCTACGATATATATATCTCATGGCTAAACACAGGAACGATTAAGTCACTCACTAGTGCAGTGGTTTCACACCTAGTTGAAACAAATCACACTGTGAATGTGACCGAGGCATTCCGTCCCCTGTATCGGGTTCGTGGTCGATTATTAAGGCAGGTTCGCTGTCGTATGCTAGCCACAGCGGAAGCGGTAGGAATTCGGCTGCACCACCCCCCTTTGTGTGCCCAAGAACAATTTGTGCAGGCGCTTAAGCTCCCCTGGCCCACCCCCTATACACCCCATATTCCGAGTGGTCCCAACGATTGGATGACCTAACAATTATGCGATCATTGAGAATTCCATATCCGGTCCCAAGATGAACTTAGCCCCAGATAACCCATGAGGTTATTTTCCCTTTCCCGAAACATTTGTTTACGTTTTTATGATTGAATACTGATTTATATATATACAGCGTAATATTTACGTGTGATGTATTTGGCATGACTACGAATCACTGAAAACGAGCTTGTTCGCCACTCCTTGTTCTATTTGAAAATATATATCTATATCAACCGTTTGCCTACAAGTATAGTACCAACGCCATGACAGTACTAACAGAAACAGGAGTTGGGTGGATTGAGATACAGAGAAAAGTGTAAAGAAGGTTAAGCAGTAACAATGGAAAACAGGCAATCGCACTTTATTCAAGGAAGATGGTGTTATTCGAAGAAACCTCCACTTCAACGGAATTGTATCGACGAGATATTTAGGATCTAGACTGAATCTATTTATGCAATGCTTCATTACAACATCCATGCCTGAGCATAGTAACCGATTTGTCGATCAATCTTGACGTGATTCACTCCTTTACTCGATCGACTGAGGTCAATTAACTCCGGATTCACCCATTCTCGTCTAAGGCTCAATCGATCAACGGTCAAGGACACAACGTTACCGCATGGTGGGGGGGACCTAAGTAAATCTCTAGCCAACGCCACCTTCGCTCAGTAACTCACTTGAAAAATACGTTTATTTGCATAAGGAGAAACCAGCTCATTCCGACTGGTCGGAGTATCAATGCGTGTTGACCGGAAATGTTTCCTGAGGTTAGGTGGTAGTACGCGTCGTCATTAAGAGTCAGGTGAATCGCAGCCCAAAACTATGGAATCGGGTCTTTCAAATGGCATCCACTAGGGACACCAAGGGGCATAATATTTACTTTAAACCGCTATGTTTAAGAAAACTAAGGTCACTCACTCAGCTCCGCTGAGAAAACCTGATAAAAGAAACTCAGAAAGTGCAGAGTTGGTAGGCAATACCACTTGCCGACAACACAATAATCTGGACGCTCGATTAACAAGAGCCATTATTCGTCTTGTGAAGATAGAACTGGACTAAACTGGACTAGACCCGGTCCAATCGATGACGTGTAACAGATGAAACCGTCCAATTGACCCGTCATAATGGCGAGTTAAGTGAGCAAATAGATATGCTAACTGATCGCTTACATCATTGTAAATCGTGGATTTCAACTTCCGATGTGTAGCATTAAGACGATCGAATAGATGTTTACATTCTGTTGTGGATTTGACGACGCACAAAAAGTGTTCCACTTAAATTTTGTACAGTATGCATTGCTTGATTCATTTCAAGCGAACTGTTTATTTTTAATTTAGAAAAGAAAACAACAAACCAAGGGCCTGGAAGAGAAAGCATTGCTACACCTTCCCTCTAGCGATAAATTTCCTCGTTAAGCTTGATTTGCATATTGCGAGTGTAGATGAATAATAATTGTTTAGGTCACCCCTCGGTAGGCGTACGTTAATCCCGTTGCTTTTGATATAGGTATACAGATAATCAATTGTTTCGTCGATTGGAATATTCTTGAAGAGAAATGTCACACCTAGAGAAAATCTGTGGCGGTATTTGATGTTTGAGTCCCTTAAGGCGTAGATGAGGCCGATTGCATCCTTAAGGTTATGGTGGGTCAACGGCACTCTCACCGGTTCAAGAAGATGAGCTAGTCATTCAGCCACCGCATGTTCACATGTCCAGGATCTGCCGGAGTGGAACTTCGCTCTTAGGTGGCAGTGGTGGCCAGGTGGTTAGATCACCAACTTGCGGCCTGGGAGTCCCGGATTCAAACCACTCCACCATCACCCGTCTTCCCTAATTCTGTATTTTCCAGGCAACCTTTGAATGACCGCGGCCTCCCTTCCTGAACTTTGACTGTTTGCTTGTATATTCAATAAATAAAAGAGGAGGTAAAAAGTCATTTATTTTATTTATTTATAGGTACTTTGGGCAGGTAGTACAACCGTAAAATCGTAGTTGCTATTTCATCATTTAGTGTGTTCACCATTTTCCTAACGTACTTTGATTAATTAAGTACGAAGCTAGCAGTTCCTTTATCTGCTTTCTTTATGATAAATTCCGTGTTTATTTTTACCCTCTACCCCAACCCCTAGTTTTTTCGGATGCTGTTCCGTTAATAATCCGTTAGCCAATGATTTGCACTCAGATATCGATAATATTTATCCATTAGGGTAAAATTAAGTGGTTCAGCTTCCAAATGAGATAAAGGGCACTTGCTCCGGTGGAACAAAGAATGTTGGTCGCACGACTAAGCGTCTGTCCGAGCGCATCTATGAGGATCATCCTGGTATTTCCGACAAGTGACTCGTCATGAAAAATCCGGGCAAATGATAATTGGGCACCATTTGTGATACAAGCTGTTAAAGACCTTCAACAGTTGGTAAATCCTCGTAAATCCTTCTATATAACTAGTCGGGCATATTGTGTCGTCATGGCATGATTGAAATTCAGTACCTAGTTGCGTTCTCATTATACATTCTGTTGGACTGTTTAAACAAACTTCAATGATCAACCATATTACAACTGTTTGAAGCAACAATAATCAACTCACATGTCTGCTCAATATGTCAAAATCGAAAGGAGTTGATGCCATAACACTGCATTATCCAAACGGAATTTGAACATACAGGCGTGGAAGAGAACAGAACAAAGGCTTCCGACCACCAAAAGAAATGCAAATAAATGGATTGATTTGTCGTTCATTGGTCGCCAGACTACTGTTATTTTTGGCAAATCAGTGGCGTATCGCTTTGTCTGACGCTACCTCTATTCAGCGGAGACAACTAAACATATTTTCATCACAGAATTAAGCCATATTTACACGCTATTTGTTGGCTTCTACACTTAGTTACTTCTCAACTTCCAACAATAATACCTTATAAACCAAAAAGTAGTTAGGCGTGGATTGCGTTGGATTAAAAGACCCGCACACCATCGAGCAGCGATAATTCGAAAACACGGCGCTTCTGGGATGTACTATGAGTTATACATGGGGAAGTTTTCAGAAAAAATGTGAAACTTGTACTTGTCCACTACAGAACTGTGAAGATATGAACAAGTGTGGCACTTTAATTTGTCAAATAATTGTCAAAGAATGATTCAATGAGTTGAGCCATGACATTTGATTTGCAAGAGTTTGGGCTCAACTCAAGTAAAATGCACAATTATAAATACAAAACAAAAGGACCAAATTTTTAATTGTGACACGCTGCTTCAATGATGTGTCACAATAACGAGACTAAATTTTGTGCTCGTAGTTCCGGTGATTTCTGTTTAAACATAAATGTGTATATGACGCGATATTTGCCTAATGTTAACCCACTCAATTCAAGGCAAATGAAAATACGTTCAATAAGAAAATACATTAAAAAAACAGATGAAATTGGTAAAATGGAAACTGCTTTCTCCTTTTTACATCTAATATTACCGGGGGATCAAAAGTTTCGGAAACACGTTGATGATCAGGAAAATGGTCTGTCTTATTTGGACGGTAATCTAGTGAGACTGGGTCAAATAACAAAATGTGATCCCAACTCGCGATCCCCTTTAGTCCTCCTTTTCCCCTGAATTGCACATGCATCCGGCGAGGGAGTTTTGTTTTAACCTTTTTCTGTTCGTTGCAAACAGGACAGCGTTGTTGGCCTTTGCAAAATAAACTTAACTGAGTTTCCAGGAAACGGGATACGACTTGAAGCGTCTCGATCAATTGAGGACAAAATCGCCGCAAGAAGTGTGGTAAAATAAAAGTACTGGGTTAGTTTCGAGGAGAACAAATGGGTCCAGAAGGGAGGTGATTAACACGGAGAAAATTAAAGTGAAACTCCTTGTAGTTTAATGGGAAGTTTTCACAAAAGAACTGAGTGGTTTCAGGCTGTGTTGAATGAATGAATGAATGAATGCGCACATGTGTTGGCGTGTGTGTGTGAAATGTTCCGCTGAAAAAAAGTCATGGGATCATCCTAAATAACTAGAGAGAAGCAGTGTGTAAAACTGTGGACAAAGGACAGAAAAAGACGGTAGAGGGAGAATTAGAATGAGCATCATATGGAAATATAGTACAATCACTTTATTGACCAATTTAACTGCAGCGCGTGAACCATGTTACATTGCTTACTCAAAACAGGCTCGTTTAACCTAACGGTTATGGAGCTCGCAAGTGTCAGGATTCTTTGGCCTAATCCTAGTGTGTGATTTTTACAAGCTGTAGATAAACGTATAGAGGGTTACTGGTCAATCCTGCTTCCAGATGCTGAACGATTCAGTAGCTTAAGTTCCTCAGTATTCAAGAGCCACAATCTTTTGTTCTACATCAGTTTACTTGCAATTACAGTGCACGTCGTAACAAACATCTAGCAGGGCATTTGTTAAAGATAATACCTGAAAACATTTTGCAAGAAATCAACAAATTAGGATGCTCACCGTTCGTTTGGAGCACAGCTCGACTCTGCAACAGGATAGCCATTATAACTGGATTAAACGCATGGCAGCATTTTCAATTCACTTAGAACCACCATAATTGCCTGCTTTACAAACAATAAGAAAATATTTCCAGCAAGGGTACAGAATGGATACCAACACATGTGTGAGAAAAGAGTAGCTAGCTAGCAGAGCCAAATCAAACCCAAAAGTTTGCTACAACTACGTGCCGTCAAAGACAGCAATTGCGTAGCCAAAACGAGAAGACTCAATTTCTGTACCAGTTCTACAAGGAAATGAAAGTATGTGTCAGAAGAAACTAGGAGAATAAATGTTATGGTCAAGGATGTTGTTGTTAGTTGCAAATTTGAAATCCGTAATAGAAAGCCTTATAACCAGAAAAGCCGGCGATCAAAACGATTTACATGCGATGGTACTCAAACCCTTGGCTAATGGGCTAATAGTATTGTTCAACCTGATTAAATTCATCAATATCCTAAAGGGCTAAAGTTGTCTGGAAATGAGAGGAAACCATAACAAGAAGTAGCATAAACGGTGTCTTTTGCAGGAATTTCCTTAAGCGAGTCAAGGAAAGGGTTTCACACAGGTACGACAGAATTCGCTTCGTGTGGTAAATGGCTGAAATAGACTGATAATCGAGATAGTCACCGATATGTTAGTGAGAAATTTTAACAGACGGTGATACTTAGCTCGGTATTACATATTTAAACAGGCAGCTATTTAATACATGCTATGCTTTCTTTTCTCCCACTTCTTCCCCTGATGCTCCGAAACCGTCACCGCGCCTTTCCTTTAACGGGAACAGAAACCATGAATAATCTGGTTAAAACGGAAACTTGGACTCAACCACCAATTTTTTGAAGACTATTCTTCTTCTTTCAAAGCACCTAATGATCTCTAGGGCCCTCGNCGTAGCAAGAAACTGCACTCACTGGCACAACCTGGAATCAAAATAAACTAATTCGGACTGAATTTGTAAGATAAGGCTGATATCACAAGCAAATCGTACGAGCTTTGCCGTCCATTTGAACCCACGGCCCAAATGTGAACGCTCAAGCTATTAGTGTTATTGTAACTATGCTGGTTACTGGAAAAGATAGTTAGAACACATCTAATGGAACATATGGGGCGAAACATATTCATGACAGAGGCATAGCATGAATTCGTTAAACAGCGTTCATACCTAAAAAACTGTTGTGCTTTTTGGAGGATATTACTGCAAAGATAGAAGAGGTTGAAACCGTAGAGGTTTGCTATCTGGATTTCAGCAAGGCTTGTGATTCAATGAACCGTTGACTGCTATTGATCAAATTAGAACGATTCGTAATCCAAGGACAGTTGCACAGGTAGATAAGAGCCTTTCTCTCACAACGATCATTACATGTGACGGTTGGTGAGAAAAGGTGCACACCGGTTCAGCTAACTAAGAGAGTTTCATAAGGCTCATTACTAGGATCCCTTCTATTCCTTCTCTACATAAACGACTTGCTGAGCACTCTGACCTCATTGTGCTAGATTTTTGCGGATGACGTCAAGGTGGTTGGTCTGAATGGGAGAGGTGACTGAAGCGGGATTTAGAGCGAGTAGCTAGATGAGCACAGGGATGGGACCTAGGTCTTAACGCAACAAAGAGTCATGTGCTCACAGGGGTATTTGACAGACTGTAAGTTCACTCGAAGAGCAATAGTTTGCTATCAAACCCGTTACTAGGGTTGATGACTTAAGGGTAGCGATATCAAACAATTTCAAATGGTCTAACCAGTGTGCAGTAGCACTGCGCAAGGCCAGGGGGAATTATTTAGACTACGGTCGGTAGTAACACGCAGACGACCGGAAGTCTTCATTCCCATTTACAAAGCCATAGTCAGACCTCACCTAGAGTATTGCGTACAGGCTTGGTCACTCTTATCCAAGAAGGATGCTACCTGTTTAGAGAAAGTGCATAGATTAGCTACCAGAATGGTTGAAGGCCAGAGGGGAAAAACATATGAGGAACGATTAGAGGCTTTAGGGCTTTTCTCATTAAAAAGAAGGAAGCTTCGAGGAGACCTGATAGAAACCTTCAAAACCATAAAGGGAATATCGGGGATAGAAGCGAGCAGTCTCTACATTAGTTCTCCAACACGGCACTAGAGGGCATAAGTTCAAGCGCATGAAGTTGAGGTGTCGCTTAAACATGTGGAAGCACTTTTTCAGCAATAGGATAGTCGGCATTTGGAACCGGTTTCCCAAGCAAATAGTCAACCTTCAAACAGTGCAGGCATTTAAGACAGCACTTGACGAGCGATGGGTGGACCTATTCCCATCTCTGGCAGTGTAGATGAATGTAGGTGTGCCATTTCCCTCTTTCACTGGTGCACGCAATGAAACGCTAAAGTCTAACAATTCACTCGCCAACTTGGTGAGATGATATCCTATTTCTCATTTTTATTTCAGCAGAGCTGGGTTTTCACGTAGTGAGCATACTATCGAAGAGATTCTGGACGTTCGATTGGCCGTGGCCATATCCAGTCCTGTGCAACCTGACCTGACCTGACACTCATGCCTTATGTGCATGTATATATAAAGAGACGAACATATTCAGTGCGTACCCTGCTAACATCAAATAGCGCTTTTCTGCTACGAAGTGACTACCGTTGTAGCGTTTTAATTGGTAGGCCTGAGTCTTATTTATTATTCACAAGTACTACTTGAAATATATCATTGTGTTACGTTATCAGTTTACTGGCGTTGATAAGCCCTCTGGCAAAGAAGAGGGGTAGTGTGTAAAGTTTAACAAATCGCACGGTTAGGTAGCGATATCTTACGTAAACGACTAAAGTCATTTTTGTAAACTTGTAGAGTTCTAAAATGACACTGAAATCTGTAATTGTATAACAAAATGGCTCACTATTTTGTGGCATATGCTACAATATGCTACCAATATATATATATATATATATACATATATATATATATGTATATATATATATATATTGGTAGCGGTATACCGTCACTTTAGTATTCGAATGGTAGTCTTTTTGTTAACAGATTTGCGATCACAATGCCCTAGGGTGTAGGAACTAGGTTATCGGTACCCCGGGCTAATACGTATAAATCGCAAACGTACGTTCGTACGAGGAGAGAACGAGGCGATTCACGGAACGGAGAACGACGTGTATTATAAAGACCTGCAGAGCAAGAGAGAGATACATAGGCGTGGGAAAGCGTGCGGAAAGTGAAAGCAAACACGTGCTCACCGAAGAGGTGGCCTTGGTGTGACAAAACAATGAGATGCACAGGAGGGAATGTACATTGAAAACCGGATGTGATTGGTTACTACAAGGGCGTTGTCCATCAATTAAAATCGACAATAACCAAGATCCGGGACTGCTTGGTCTATAAGTCAAAGACTATAGCCTCGAACCCGTGAAATAAATCAAGGCTTCAAAAGTTAAATCATTCTAATGATCATTAGAACTCACGATTTGAATCGATTCAAATCGTGAATTTACAGAACTTACCGTGGAATTATACCTCGCTGCGTATCAACGTCAGCCATGCCTTGCATAGTAAATGACTTTCCACATCCCGTTTGACCGTAAGCGAAAATTGTGCCATTATATCCTTCCGTAACGCCTTCAACCAAGGGATAAGCGATGTCATTATATATCTGCTCCGTTGTAGAGCTTATATCGTACGCTCCATCAAAGAAAAATATTTTCGGAGGAACTTTCTTTCCGTTCGGGTGATTGATTGAGCACTGTCCGGTTTCGCTGATTATTTCAATTACGTTTTTGCAGTCCAAACTTTTTTCTCTTTCGTTTAGCGGCCGGCATCTCACAATCACCTTCACTGCTTCGGAAGCCATCTTTAATTAACTGTAGAGCGCAGAACTACATATTACACCACATCTTGATTAAATTGTAAAGTGGTTCAAAAAAGTGCCTGGTTTAAACGAGTACATCAATCACCATAGAGTTGATTTTGAAATGGATAAACAAAACATCAAAACCTCAAAACTTAAACATAATACAACTAAGAATTGATTCAGCGTTGTGGTTCAAAACTAAAATTGTTTCAGTCATCATTTTTGATCCAGGATTCAATATATTAGTAGGTTGCTCATGAGTCAGTACAATGGATGAGATTCACCCACGAAACAGGACCTTTCACCTGAGGGTAGATGACGGACTATCAGGGCCTGCTGAAGCTTGCAGTAGGGACCACCAGTGTCGGTACTTAGGATCATACTATTCCTCGTATGCATTACCTATATGGTTCATGATCTGCATTATCCGCTCTACTCGTTTGCCGACGACATTAAAAACGTAGACCGGCCAGATTTGCCACAACTGTAAAAGGATTTGATTAGGATCCAGGAGTGGACCCTTCAATCGGAATTCCCACTGAATCTTAGCAAGTGCAAACAGTTACTGTCAGTTGGAACCATAGCGACGGGCGAAGTGCGAACCCGGAGAGACGTCAAACTAT